TATTTTGCACAGCTAGGGAAAAGCACCAAGAATTCCAGTAGTGTCCTCCAAATACAAGGAGGAATTAGATGAACGAGCTGCTTTCTCCTCAAGTTACCAGCTTTTGTCTTTTTTCAAGAATACCATTTGCAAATATTCTCCTCTTGACATATAATCTTAGACCTTATTTTCAATGAGTAATCCTTATTTTGTTTTTAGCTTTTAAAATGTCACAATGACACTGAGAAAATGCCATATAAATAATGAAGTTTAGATTTTAGATCTGAACCCTGTGCAAGTGGTCTGTAATATCTCTATTGTCTAAGCAATTTATTCTAAATGGGTCTGATTGGCACAAGTATCAGTGGGAGATGCTTATTTACAAATGTTCCTTTTACAACATCACCCTTATACTGATATTATTTGGACCATTTAGCACACCACATAGCAGAGTACCAAATGAAAGATAGTGGATGTTGCTGTGAACTTACTTGTTCCCAAAGTCAGTGAGGTGTATGGAATTTGTGGTATTACAGAATATGCATAATATTTTAACATTATTAAGTAAATTACTAAAATGTACAGATCAATTTATTCTGTAATGGAATGTGCTAAAAGCAGTTGCTTCTTTCAAAACAACAATTGAAAATAAGTTTTAGATAAGAAGCCATAGTACAAGGGTTAGACAGGAGAGAGAAATGGAGGGAGAGAAGGAGAGTGACAGAGAGAGAGAGAGAGAGAGAGAGAATAAATAATGCCTAGCTAGTGTAAAAAACAGGAGTAAATCATATTATTCCAACAACCTTATGACAAATTACACATGAACAATATCTCTAAATGACTCCACGTGAATAGCTAAAGGCTACATAACAAGAAACAGTGCCAGGCAGGAGAGACCTTCCTTTAAATTGTTGGCCTGGGTGGCCCAAGAGACTCCCAAAGTTACACAGGCTATTGCCACAGCCCTTGATGGCCTCCTAGAACTTGAAGGTAAGACCTTACTGCTGAAGACAGAACATACTTCGGACACAGGATTTGGAGCAATGGAGCTGGAACTGACCTGGAAGCCACTTCCCCTGAAGGCGAGCTAACATGGCTTTGGAAAGCACCATGCAAGGTGCTAAGAGAGAATATCAACTGATGGTCCAACACCAGCTTCAAGACCAAATAACTGTGAATTTACTTGTTCCCAAAGTCAGTGAGGTTTGTGACATTTGTGATATTTGTGATATTACAGAATTAACATCAATGACCTGCACAGCATATGACATTGATGCAGTAGTGGCCCTTTTATCTTGGGGGCAATCAACAGCTACCTAATTGAACTAAAAGCCCACTCAATGGGAAGAAACTCATGTGTGTTACTGTAAATATAGCAAAATACACATGGCTGGAGAGGTCATAGATCTTAGAGAAAACCCCAAAACTGTTATATCCCTAGACTAATGTAATTTCTTACTATGTACAAAATATGTGTCCTTATATTTACAGGCAAATATCCCAGTCACTACTCATCAGAGAAGTTTCTTTTCATTAGAGAGACACTATTACAGAGTACCACAACTGGTCACACACAGACATTGTGAGTTGCCCAAGTCTAAGTGGCACATCTACAATGCAACCTCTACACCTAAGACTCACAGAACATAGAACAAGGGGTAAAGAAGACAATAATGAATCTCTCAATTCTCATTAATGAAGCTCCCTCATGCAACAGAGGGCCAGGAACATGAAAGGTAACAAATGGCCAAAGTGTAAAGATTAAGAGTCTGCAGAATGCTGATCCTTGGACAGAACTCCTATAACTTCATCCACTCAGGGCTCAGGGTCCATTGCAGAAGAGGGGGTGGAAAGATTGCAAGAGCCAGGGAAGGAGTGCATGACTTATGGAAAGAGACTTCTACAAGCTCCTGGGACCCTGCTCATATGAACCCACAGCAATGGTGTCAGCATGCACAGGACCCATGCAAACCCAAACAGACAAAAACCCAGCATAGAACTGGGGAAGTGGACAGCTGACCCCAATCTTAGCTGAAGAAATCTTGGCAACTGATTACTGCTGGGTGAGGAAGAGCTGATCTTCCTCTCTAGACACCTCAGTAGATGAACTTTCACTGAGGGACATCTGGGGACACTAACTTGACACAAACGGGCCTTAAGACAAATGACAGAATGTATGAATTCCAGTGTGTGGGGACTATGGGAGGGTCCCAGTGGGGAAGGGGGTATAAAGATGATTAAAATTGGTTGAGATGTTCTGTATAAAATATGCAAAAATTCAATTATGAAGAAGAAAATAATTTTTAGTGTATATGGTAGAGTTTTTGAAAGCCACACACTCATGTGAATAAAATATGTTTTATGGTACCCCTGAAGTGTGCCTCAACTTTATACTGGCCTGGCAGGGTGTTTTCATGTTGTTCCACTAGTCAGTGGTTTTCATGTGCATGCCCGGCCCCAATTCAGTGAGTTCTGACACAGTACTCTATGAGCAAAGCAAAGCATGTCTGGGAAAGGCTGGTTGGGCCCAGAGGCCTATCTGTACCTTTTGGCCCATGAGCATCTATCTCTCTTTTAAAGTTGAAAGCATTTTAGAAGACATTACTCTGTGACTATTTTACTTTTGTCTGTGTTTATGCAGTAGTACCTACTCAGATGAGGCTGGGACCTGTTTGGAAGTCATGTATTATGCTGAGTCGGGTTTCACTCTGAAATGCAAAGATTTCACAAGTGAAATGTGAGAATTGGAGCATTTCTCTAATTTCCACTCACTCTGGGTGCAGGAAGGATTCCTAATTCAAAGTCCTCCACTTTCATCTTCAGTCAATAGTGAAACAATGACATTAACACAATAAAATGTACATGCACACAGGTGGGAGATTGAAGGGGTCTGTCTACCATTAAAGCTTTTTGTACAATAGCTGCATCATCCCTCAGGGACTGAGAATTTCTTGAAAAAGGGACCACTTCTTACTCATTTTTGTATTTTGGTCATTCCTAGACTAAAGCAGGTGTTTTGAAAGGTCTTGCTAAATTGAATTGGAAAAAGAGACCAGAGGGCAGTCTGGGATTGAATTATAGTCCAACACACCTGCTTCTACGTCTTCAAGAAACATTTCTTAGTATTATGATTAAGGGTTTACTTTTCTTCAATATACTTTCAGAATAGAATCTAAACTTCTTGTTTCTTTAAGCCTGAAAATTGTTCTCTCTTTTAAAGATGATCCATAGCATTTGTGCAAAGACTTGCAATGGGCACTTTCATATGGATGGCTGATAGTGTTATGGGGTATTATTTTTTACCAAATTATTTCAGTTTCAAAATTTTATTCATTAATATTATGCTAGGTACATTTTCTTCTCATAATATTCTCCAGGATGGTATTTTACCTTCTTGTTATGAATGAGAAAACTGAAGCTCTGATGGGGAAAGAAGCTCAAGTAATTAGTAAGTCTTAGTATACATACCAGAAAGGGAGCTAGAATGTTTTCTGACTCCTGGAATCTTGTTCTTTCCTTTGCTCCAAGACCCTTTTTAGCTCAAAGTAAACCTCATTATTGCTTTACTTATCCATTCCTCCCTTCTTTTTTTACTTTTTACTTTTACTTATCCATTCCTTCCTTTTTTGTTGTTCAAAGGAAGGTTGTATTGATGATTTCATGGATGGCTGGTGGATTGCCATAGAGGGACAACAAAGAGTTAAGATCTATTTACCCACAGGTCTGAGAAATTCTGAGTCATGTGAGAATGTTTTATAAGGGAAAAAATAAGTGCTGTATCTCTTTCCCGCTTGACTCTTTCCAGAGTTGTCTCCAAAAGCAATACTGATCAAATGGATTATTTGGAATCTGTATTTATTAGCACAGTATCCTGAATGATGGTGGGTTGAATGCCAGGATGTGGTGCATAGATGCCAGGTATCTGATCTCTTTGAATTCCCATTATTTACCTGGTCTACTCCTTTCCTATTTAGAATTTAATTTTTGGACCATAAGCATTATAATTTCTTAGGTCTTGTCACAATTCAAACGACAAGATCCCACTATAGACCTTTTGAATCAGAAAATACATTTTAACAAAACTCTTGTGATTCTTAAGCTTATTAAAGTTTTATGTAAACTGGAGTAGCTTTTGCAGCAATCTTGGTCTGTTTTCCCGGAATGCTATGTTTGCCTTCCTTAAAATATATGTACACACAACTGAAATTAGTTCTTAACTACTTGGGTGAGGCTATTTTAATTCCTTAGGGCTTTTTGCTGAGCTACTATTGACCTTCAGTTTGACATTCAATTAGCTAAATTAGTTACTTCTATTTCTAAATATCTTTCGTATATTTCCTTCAGGACAAGAACCATATTTAATTTGTGCTCACGCTGTTCCTTGTATGTAAATGCTTTAAAAAAATAGTTAAATGGTGACTAAATGATTAAATGAACACATAGAAGAGGAGAAACCTGGATGGTAAATTCATTGAAAACCAGAATAATATATTATTCATCTTTGAATTTAAAATGCTTTATAGAAAACTTGTAAGTAATGTTTCTTGGTTAAGTTGTAGCTGTCAGGAGACTCTAGGGTATGAGTCTAGAGGATAGAGAGAAAATGAAACAAAATGCAGCTTCATGAATTTTTTTTGTACTTTAGTCATCACAAAATTATGATAACTGGGTTCATTTTTCAGGGATATAAACTAAAATTTGAAGTTCAGAGCCTAGTGTCAGAGCCGGAAACACAATTCTTGGGCGAATTGAGCTGTATCATTGCGTTCCAGGCCCTGTTCTGCAGAGATTGAGAGGTGGGACAGGAATGATTCTCTATGTAATAAAATTGAAAAACACTCAACTTCCTACCGCAATCGAATCATTAAAGCTCTGGAAGAAGGTGGTTTTGTTCTTGCTTTTTGATCAGGCTGGGTAGGGACCATGTATTTTCCTGAGCTGGTCTTTTTCCACCAGCGGAACGTAAGTGCTAGGGCCTTCAGACGCGGAGGGGAAACAGAGAAAATGGACACACGGCCCAGCAGTTGCCTGGCAACCCCCGCTGGAGGAGTACCTGCGTAAAAAGGTCCGGGAGAAGTGTCAGAGGCCGGGGGTGGGACCCCTGCATCAGCTTTTTTCCTGCTGGAGGCTGTCCCCGCGGCTGAGCGGGCTGGGGCGGGGGAAATGTTGCAGGAGGAGTCGGACCTGTCCCTCACTATTGCCCAGATCGTCCAGAAGCTCAAGGGCTCCAATTTGTATGCTCAGCTCGAGCGGCAGGCCTGGGTAAGTGGCGCCGGACGGGGAGGGATGGAGACCCGTGGCCGCAGGGACATCTTGTCTTCTACTCGTCCTCTACCCAAGTCAGAGCGCTCCCCTGCTCTCTCCACTACCCTCAGGTGTCCATAAACCCTCCTTGTCCCATGCAGCTCGGTTTGCTCAGACCCAGGCATGGGGCGGTAGAATTTGATTAAAGATGGGTGGGGCTCATCACCCCTTTCTTGAGGCCAGAGAATGGCCGAGGTTACCCATTCGTTATTTATTCTTGTAGTCATTCTCGAGGTCTAATATTTTAAGCTGTTGCGTGCCTTCCTTCCCTTTTACTGTCTTGTGGGTGGATTTGGGACCCTAGGTGCGGACCCCTGCCCCCAATTGATTTCCTATGTGCCCACCTAGCTTTTATTGCACAGGACCCAAACGTGCTAGGCACTGAGAATCCACAGATAGAGCAGGAGGTCTTTACTATTTGAGAATGTCATGTAAATGGAATCATACAGTACTAAAACTTTTGTGCGTGTCTTCTGCCATGTAGCATAACGCTTCTGAGATTCATCTAGGCGGTTGATATTTCAATGCTTCTGTTCTTTTAATTGCTGAATAGCATTTCATTACTTGATGTCCCACCATAAATTTCTCCATTTATTAGCTGATGGATATTTGGGTTGTTCAGAGATTGAGTAAAGTCAATGTATATATTCTGGTGTAGGCTTTTGCTTGGATATTTGGTCTTGTTTTTGTTTGTTTAGGGATGAATACTTGTGAGTGGAATTGCTGAATTGTATGGTAGTGTACATTTAATTCTCCAAGAAATTGCCACTTTTCCTATATTGCTGTGTCGTTTTACAGTCCTATCAGAAATTATGAAAATGCCAGTCATTTTACAAACTTCATAGCGATTGCTGTCTGCTTTTATTTATCTTTATTAATTCCATTACTTACTCTTCTAGTAGTAGCATAGTGGCATCTCCTCCTAGCTCTAATACATGCTCTCTAATGACTAATGACACTAAAATTTTTCTCATGTGCATGTATCTTCTTTGGCGAAGTAATTTGTTAAATCTTTTGCCCACTTTAGATTTTATATTGTCTTTTTATTATTGTGTTGCAGGGACCTTTGTATAGGATATACATCTTTCATCAGATAGAGACGGTTTTGTTTGTTTGTAAACAGGGTTTTCTGTAGCCTAAGCTGACCTTCAACTAATTATGTAACTGAAAATGACCCTAAATTCCTGATCCTCCTGCTACTAAGTGCTGGGATTATAGACATGTGCCGCCATGCCCCACCAGAGAGATCTTGCAAATATTTTCTCCTGACATGTGGCTTATCTTTTCATTTTCTTAACTGGGTCTTTCAAAGAGCAAAAGAAATTTAATTTCAATAACAAATCTTTATCAACTTTCTTTAAAACAGTTTTATTTTATTTTTACATGTATAAGTGTTTTGCCTACATGTATCTAAGTGTACCACATGTACGCAATACCCACAGAAGCCAGAAGAGGGTGTTGGATTCCCTGGAACTGGAGTTACAAGCAGTTGTTAGCTGCCATATTGGTTCTGGGAACTAAACTTGGGTCCTCTGGAAGAGCAGCCAATGCTCTTAACTGCTGAACCGTTGTTCTGCCCCGCCCCCAGCTTCCTTTTTTTAATGATTTGTGCATTTGTACCCTATATAAAAATTTTTGCCTAACCTCAAGTCTCAAAAAAGTTTCACTTGTATTTTAGAAGTTTGATGATTTTAGCTTACATTTAAATTTGCAATCCATTTTAAATTAATTTTTGTATATGGTACAAACTTAAATCTTTTTCTGTTTTTCCATATGGATACCCAGTATTTCCAGAACCTATTTGCTGAGGGTCCTGTTTTTCTTTACTAACTTACTTAGAAATTTTTGTTGAAAATTTACATCCACGTGCACTCAAATGCATATGACTGTTTGTGGCCTTTATTCTTTTATGTGTCTATCATTGTGCCAAACTATATACTATCTCACTTTTTCTAATTTTGTAGTAAGCTTAGAAATTAGGCTGTCTTCCAACATCATTTCCCTCTTTCAAATTATTTCTAACATTTATATGGCAAAGCAAAGGACTTTCTAATCAACTTTTAAATTACCTTAAACATTTTTGAGTGTTGGATTGGAATTATTTTGAACCTATAGATGAATTTGTTTGTTTTTGTTTCTTTCTAAAGATTTATTTTTTTAATTTTTTAAAATTTATTTATTTTATGTGTATGAGTGTATTGCCTCAATGTATGGGAGTGCACCCGTGTCGTGCAATGCCACGGAGGTCAGATGAGGGCTTCCGATTCTCCTGGAACTGGAGTTAAGGATGGTTCATAGCTGCCATGTGGGTGCTGGGAATCGAACCCGGGTCCTCTGCAAGAGCAGTCAGTGCTCTTAACTGCTGAGCAATCTCTCCAGCCCCAAGATTTATTTTATTTATTTTAATATTTTTATTGATTTGAGAATTTCATTCAGTGTATTTCGATCATATTCAGACCCCTCCTGTCTCCACCCCCACCTCACTACCTCCCCCTGGCTTCATGTCCTCTATTATTATTTGTCTTTTTAAAAAAGTTATTGAATTTTTGCAATTTTCATACAGTATAGGTTGGTGGTATTTACCTCCCCTATCTACACCGCCTCCCATTGCTCCCACCCAATTTAATGTACTCTCATATATATGATATGACCTATAGAGTTTGATTTTTGTCCCCAAATGTCCTTCAGTGTGGGTCCATCCACTGGGCCCACCAAGAGTCCTATCCCTGTAAGACATTGTCTTCCCCCCTCCCAGTGGCCATCAGCTGCTCTAAGTTCCTCAGGTTGGGTTGGGATTTCTGACCCATTTCCCCATGCCTATGCTAGTATTTTATCTGGTTTGAGCTAGCATGGGGCTTGTGCATGCTATCACCGTTGCTGTGAATTCATATCAACCACCTCTGGTTCTTACAGTTTTTCTGCCCCCTCTTCCACAGTGATCCCTGAGCCTTGGGAGGCAGAAATTGGATATAGGTGTCCTATTCAGGGATAAGCACTCTGCCCCTTATTCTCTGCACTTTGACCAGTTGTGGGTTTCTGTGTTAATCATCATCTACTGCATAAGGAAGCTTCTCTGGTGAGAGTTGAGAGATGCACTAATCTATGAGTATAACAAGAAGTCATTAGGAGTCAGTTTAATATGACAACTATTGAGTAGAAAACTAATGTTAGGCTGTCCCCTATGTCCTGTGACCTATCTAGCCTCCTGTTCCTAAGCCTGATATTAGTGTCAGGTATGAGCTCCATCCTATGAAGCAGACCTTAAATCGAATTAGAGAGTGGCTGATTACTCCCATAGTATTCATGCCACTATTGCACCAGTGGTCCTATCTTGCCAGGACAGTTGTTGTAGTTCACAGAGGGAATATTTATTTATTTATTTATTTATTTATTTATTTATTTATTTAATTATTTATTGTTTTGTTTTTTTGAGTCAGGGTCTCCCTGTACCCTAGACTGGCCTGGAACTTGCTACTATAGACCATGCTGGCCTCATCTCACAGACATCTGCCTCTCAAGTGCTGGGATTAAAGGTGTGTTCCATCATGCCTTCTTTTTGATATTTTGTTAAATGTTGATTTTCTTATTTTGATTTCCAATTTTTTACTTTGGAATACTGAAGTACAGTATGGCTTATTTAACATGCACTAAGTAAAAAAAAAATCCAAACCAAACAAAAAAACCTGAGAACTCACTGAACTTACTAGTTATAGTATTATTATTTTGTAGATGACTTGGATTTTCTGTGTAGATGTATCACATGCAAACACAGTTTAACTTTATCCTTTTCAATCTATATGTGGTTTATTTACTTTTCTTACCTTTTTTTCTGGATAATGCCATCAATGCAATGTTGTATGTATATGTTTTTACCAGATTGAGGAAAAACTCTTCTATTCTTGGTTTTCTGAGAGTTTATGATGAATGGATGTTTAATTTTTCAAACTACTTTCCTTGAATGGATGCTTATGTGTATTGTCCTTACAATATATTGATATGGCAAATAATATTGATTACCTTTGACTGTTGTACCCATTTCACATTCCTGAAATAAATTTCACTTATATGTAGTATCCTTCCTATTTATCTCATTTTCTTAAAGCTACATTTATTACATTTGTGTGTGTGTGTGTGTACATGTGCCATGGTGTACCTATGGATGTCAGAAAACCACTTAGGGGAGTCAGTTCTCTCCTTCCATCATGTGGGTCCCAAGGGATCGAACTCAGGATGTCAGGCATGGGGCAAGTGCCTTTACCTTCTGAGACATTTCCACAGTTCCTTATTTCTTTCTTGATTCATTTACTAATATTCTACTAAGGATTTTTATGGACATAGTCACAAAAATGCTGTTTTTTAGTTTTCTTTTTTTGTAACATTTTGTATGTTTTGGTATTGGGTCATATTGACCTCATGAAATGAGTTGGAATTTTTTTCCTCTCTTATTTTTTGGAAGAATTTGTATAGAATTAATTTTATTTCCCTCTAAAATAGTTTGTAGAATCCTCAGTAAAGTCATTGGGGCCTAGAGTTTTTTTCTTTGCATAAATAATTTTAATGAAAATTAAATTTTAATAATGTATGTGAAGCTTGTTATTTCAGTGTTTCCAGACGTTATTAAAGACATAGGGAGGAGGACAGTGGTTGTCAGAAGCTGGAAAGGGAAGGGGGACAGAAAAAGGTCAATGAACAAGGACAAAAATAAAGTTTTATAGGAGAATTAAGTGAAATTCTAGTGTAAGATGATAAACAACCTGAGAACCTAGTGGAGACAGAAAAGCGCAGAGAATGAGTGTAGATGTCCTCTCTATTCTGTGCTCTAGGCCACTCCAGACTGATATGCTGGCCTGTCATTAGTCTGTATACTTAGTAGCTCAATTTTTCTTGTCCGTATGTGCTCTTTCTTGTCCCTTTTCTTCCCGTGCTATGCCAAAGGTGAAGTAGTTGGAGACCTGTCT